CAGAGCTGGGGGGGGAGCGTGGGGTGTCACTGTGCATACCATGGAGACTTACTCCAAGGATAAATACTGTAGCAGCATTTTTAAACAGAGCCCGTTTCCCGTCAGTCATTTTTGCTTAATCCCCTGGGTTGAGCAAGTTTTATGGAAGTCGGATTTTTTTAGGTCCCCTTTGCAGAACGGCGAAAAAGTCTTTGGGCTGTCCTTGTGCTTCAGAGGGAAGCTGTCGGCTGGAAGCGCCTTGTGGCTTCCTTGCGGCTGAGGTCCGAAAGCAGGAGAGCGGAAATGGCAAGGCTTTGCCAAGGAGAAGAAGCCAGCCGTACATCTGCCGGAGTTTTCGCAGATGTTCTGCTTCGAGCCTTCTCTTTCTTTGGTGTGTCTTGAGGGAATTAATTAATTATTGTTGCAGGATGGAACGCTGCTTTTATATATGACAATTGCAGCGAGACGATTTTTTTTTTTTTTTTGCTCAAAAAATGGAAACGGTCCAGGCTGTTCACCTCGGAGGAATGGCTGGTGAAGACGATGGAACTTACGGAGATGTCTAAATTAATTTCTCCGATAAGACGGGGGGGAAAATACATTTATGGTCGACTGGAAATCCTTTTTACATTTTTTTGCACAAAACAGAATTAAATGCATTAATGATTTGTGGTTTTGATGATTGGGGAAAAGAATGGATAATAGAAAAGACTGAGCTTTTTTTGTAATCATAGTAGCAGATAAACTTTGCCATTGTACTTATATTTGCTGCCAAGAAAATCGGAAGCGTCTTCTTTGAATTTCTCTTTTATTCTTTCTTTCTGCGCTTTTGCTTTTCTTTCTTTCTTTCTTTCTTTCTTTCTTTCTTTCTTTCTTTCTTTCTTTCTTTCTTTCTTTCTTTCTTTCTTTCTTTTCTGCTTTTACTCATTACACGTAGCCTTTGACAGGACCACAAATGGGAGCAGAATTTCTGCTGCTAAGCAAGGTGGTAATTAACTCAGTTGTGCCCGATTTTACAGCCTTCTCTGCCATGGTGAACAATAACAACTTTATTGTCACTTTGAATGTACACCAATCGGCATACACCAAAATGAAATTTTGTTGCATACAGCTCTCAAAGGGCCACCACCTCCGATATACACTCCTTGTTTGTGGCTTCCAGCTGAAGTTTCAAATCATCCATTTTAATCTCTAGGGCAAGGCTTTTCAACCAGTGGTATGGGTACCACCTGTGGTACATTGGCACCTGGCAGGTGGTATGCGACCATCCTAGAAAAGTGGTAGTGGGGGAGGGGAATGAGCTGAACCAGTGGCAGCACCACACAAGCCTGAGCAAGAGATGGCTGGAGTTGCAGGGCTGTCAGGGCTCAGCGCTTCTTCGGGACTGTCAGGGCTCAGTGGATGCGCTGATCCTGGCGCTTCTGCTGAGCCCAGAAGAAGCGCCGATCAGCTGGAATGTTGCAGCATGTCCAGGGTCTTGTGATTTACATTCAGATGCTTGGCAAATGATTCATATTTATGACGGTCACAGTGTCCCAGGGTCATGTGAAGTGACCAAAATCTGCTGCAACCACCCAGCAGATGGGGGGAATAAAAACCAAACACCCCCCACCCCACCCCCGCTGCCAATCCTCAACAGAAATGCTCACAGCAATGAAAACCTCGGACAGGAGGAAGAGCGCCACTGGGTGGGCAGGCAGATGTCTTGCTCAGCTGTTGCTTGGGGGGCACATTGTAACTTCGAACAGTCACTAAGCGAACTGTTGTAAGTCGAGGACTACCTGTACTTCATCACTTTTTTCCTTTTTTGGGGGGGGTGTCATCAATTTTTGACACCTTGCTAGGCGACTGGTGGTACTCAAATTTTGCCATATCCTAAAAGTGGTACAATGGGTGAAAAGGTTGAAAAGCTCTGTCCTCTAGGGAGCGAACGATGGCAAACAGGACAGATGGAAACGGAGCTCTGTGTGGATTAGCCCTCAAATTAGATTGTATTCCTGCATGACAACCTCGCCTCCTTTTTTTTTTTTGATCCTGACTCTTCCACCTTTTCTTTAAGTTGCTAAGCGAATCTTTGCAGCTGTTAAGCGAACCACAGGGTCATTAAGCAAAATGGTCATAACTGTGAAAAACGGTCATCAGTCACTTTTTTCAGTAACTTTGAATGGTCACTAAACGGATGGTTGTAAGTCAAGGATTATCTGTAAGAGCCAGGCTTTCTCTCTGCCCGAAATAAAAGGAGAAAATAACAATAATAGCAGAGATGAAGAAGCCAAGGGATTTTGCCCGTGGAGCAGGAGACCGACTGCATCTACAGAGCAGGGGGGACAGTATTGCAATCCAGTGGCTTTGGATGGTGCTTGGCTAAGCCTGGATTACAGGTTTTAGGGTAGGGTGGGCGAACCTAGGACACGCGTGTCAAAGGTGACACACCACAATGTTTTGGGTGACACACCAGCGTTCACCAACACCCAACAACTATTCCCGAAAGCACACCCCATCGTTTTCGGAGACCGCAGAGGCAGGGCGAGAATGGGGTACTTTCCGGAATCTTTGACAGTTACAGTAAGTGAGAGGGCCACGCGTTCGCAACGCCTCCAGAGGCTCCAAAAATCGTGCAAAAAAAACGGGGCACGCTTTTGCACGAATGTTTGGAGGCCGTTTGAGAGTCAGGCGTGCTCTCGCACAGCCTCTGGAAGTTACATGCGAGGGCTGGGCTCTCACATGACCTCCACAGCCTCTGAAAATCGTGAAAGATCGGGGTGGGCTTTCACGTGTTTTTCGGAGGCTGCGGAGGCCGTGGAAGAGCATTCTCCAAAGCCGCTTCAAGAGCGAAGACTTTGACCTGCATCAAATAGACCTCAGGTGCCTGTCAATGGAAAGAGGACACCGCTTGAAGGTAAGCGGCAGGCAACGGATCCTAGGGATCATACGCAATTGGACTGGTTTATTTTTTTTTAAAAAATAAATGAATATGTAAAGAATTCTTTTTCCTTTGTTGGAGCAGAGAAGGGAGGTGGCATACCAGTGAAGTCAAGTTTCTGAATTTTTGACATGCCCAGACCAAAAGGTTCACCGTCACTGCCCTGGGCCCTGAAACTGTGGCTGCTCCCGCCCTGCAGGGCCCAGTTCCCCACTAACACAAAGCCAGCAGAAGTGAGCTTTCTAGGAAGCAAATTGAATAAATAGCTGCCCGACTGTCTCAATAGCGTCGATTCGGCCTTTTCTGCTTTTTATTATTATTATTATATTTAAATTTATATCCCGCCCTTCTCCTCGCGGACTCAGGGCGGCTGACAATCAATTAAAATACATAAATGACAATACATAGATGACTCCAGAAGATGCTGAGCCAATCTCAAAGGTGCTGCTTCCCCCACCCCCCTTTCAAAAGGCAACTGGACTTTCTTTGTAGACGTTTCACTTCTCATCCAAGAAGCTTCATCGGTTCTGACAGGATGGTGGACCAAAACGTCTTCAGAGAAAACACCCAAGAAAGTCCAGAAAGGGGGGGGGGGGAAGCACCTTTGAGACAACCATGACCTGAATGACTGAGAATCTCCATAGACATGCTGAGCTTCTGGGGACCACTTGAGGCCGGACCGTGTCACCCTCACGTCATGTCTGAATGTCTTTCATTGTATTTCGCTTGTGGTCATAGACTTGGTTTCTAAGATGAAAGTTCTCAAAGGACTGTAAACTTTGTGGCAAGGATCCTAGGGCATGGCAAGAAGATGACCGAGCACGGCAGAGGGGAAAGGGGTCGAGGGATGTTGTGTGCAAGACTTTGAACCTCACCACTGTGTGATTCCCGTTGACTTTATTGTGCTATCTCTTATTTGTTGGAATGTGTATAGCAAGAGCTTCTGATCTTTTTTTTTTACCAAATCAGAAATGCAGAGAAGATAGGTAAGAACCTCGTGTTAGATTTTTTAGGAGATACGTTCTAGATTACACTACTAAATTTTTAAAAAGAAGCTCGGGGTCACCACATATGGATTTTTGGTGTGGGAGGAATGTGAGCCAAATTTCAGTGCTGATGCTCAAAATAAATTCCTGAGCTCAACTTAATTACACACACACTTCTTTTGCATTAGGCTCCAACTGGGGGAGCTCCCGTTAATGCTTTAAAAAAAGAACAAATGTTCTTACGTCCTTGTCCTAGATATCATGAGGCCTAGCAACTTGTACGTGAAAGTAATATCTTTTTCTTTGTTGGACCTCTAGGTTCTAAGTAATAAATAAAGGCGTTTCTAGCTATTGGACCTCTGCATTTGTGTTGCCTCTTGCATAGAAAAAAGAGAGAAGTTCCTAGTTATTTATTATTTCATTTACGTATTATTTTATTTATATCCAGCCTTCATTGTTTTTGTTAAACAACTCAAGGCAGCGAAAATATCTAATACTTCTTCCAGCTCCTATTTTCCCCAAAACCTCAACCCTGTGAGGTGAGTTGGGCTGCGAGAGAATGAAAGGCCACCCAGCCAGTGTTCATGTATGTCTAAGTCAGGAGTAGAACTCACCCTTTCCGGGTTTCTAGCCTGGCACTACAACTGCCAGATCGAACTGGCTGCCTTATGGTCAGGTAGAAAGTAGAAAGTTCTTTATCTTTCTGATAAAAGAAAGCTCTGATTTGGGAATCCAGGGAAGCTGCCAGAATAGATGTGAGCGTTTCACCAGAACTTAAATTGCTGGCAGTTTAAAAGCTCTAACATGGTGGGCTGGCTCTGTTCTCTTTTCTCCAGCGCAAAGCTGCCGCTGGCTGTAGATTTGATTCTCTCCTTTAATGGCCTCTTAATCCAGATGTGTTATAATCCTAACAGAAGGAACGTTTGGCCAGAGAACAGAAAGAAGGGTAGGGTGATTTTATTCTAGGGGAAATTAATTGGAAGCAAGCAAATCCTATGCTTCTTAGACACACACACACACACACACACACAGACAGACAGCCTCTCTGTATTTGCACACTGGTAATGTCTGCTCTTTTTTTCTACCTTCATCTTCTACCTTCATCTTCCCAGGAGTCTGTTGGATATGGACACTTTCTCCAAGTCTGATCCTGGTAAGTAGGTTGAGCTGGGAATAACACTGACACTGGAACCAAATGATGGATATAGAGGGGGAGCCCCCACCCACCCACCCACCCACCCAAGAATCAAAAGCTGGCATCCTTTGACAGCAATCTTGAATTCGTTTCATCGTCCAGCTACCATTAAGAGACAAGAACGTCTCCCCTGATAAGAGTTCAACCATGTTAATTCCTGTCAGACCTTTGAGGTAGGCCAGAAAATGGACTCCCCACAAGTGAGACGGGACAATAGTTTACTGATGTAAGCCACCATAACAGAATCATGAAAACCTGACTGCGTTTTCCCTTCCCTCCCTATTATGGGCAGTCCTCGACTTACGACCACAACCGAGCCCAAAATTTCTGTGGCTAAGCGAGAAGTTGTTAAGAGAGTTTTGCCCCCATTTTACCACCTTTCTTGCACATGAACCGCTGCAGTTGTTAAGTTATAAGTCATAAGTCACTTTTTTCCAGTGCTGTTGTAACTTCAAACGGTCACTAAATGAATGGCTGTAAGTCAAGGACTAGCTACATACCCCCTGGCAGTTAGGTGGAGCTAGTGTGAATTTCTTCTTAATGTTCTCTTTGTCTCTTGTAACCATCTCTGCCAAGTTTCCCCAAGATCCTTTCTATAGCTCCCTACGGTTCCAAGACATCCTTCCCAACTGGATGCCCTTGAGATATATTGGGATTACAATTCCTATCATTTGGGGTAATTGGAATTGGAATTCAGTGCATTCGGAAGAGTCCTGGTTGCAGGAAAACTGCTCTTAGGGGTGTTCTGTCAAGGTTTGATATTAACCAAGTTACCCTACACCAGGGGCAGGCAACCTTGGCTCTTTTATGACTCGTGGACTTCAACTCCCAGAATTCCTGAGCCAGCCATGCTGAGGGAAAAGGGAGAGGTTTCCAAGCTGAGCCATGCTGGCTCAGGAATTCTGGGAGTTGAAGTCCACGAGTCATAAAAGAGCCAAGGTTGCCTACCCCTGCCCTACACAATTGGGAGAATATTGGGAGCATCTCAGTCCCATCACAGGCAGTTGAAGGTGACACATTCACTGAATCGTGGCCGTTTACTTGGTGAGCCATTGGGGAGTTGTCTACCCTACAGAACTGATCATCTCTGGTCATCATGTCTTCTCCAGTCCCGCACAAGCATGATGATACGTGTTGTGCCCAGGGAGGAAGAAAATTACAAGCTAAATCAAATTTATAATCACGGGGTTAGAAAGAAAGCAAAGCGGCTGGCAGGTCTGTGGCGGGGAATAAATCATAAGGAATATTGAGAGGGCAGATTGTGTGTCTCGGAGGGAATGAATGGCTGAATGAATGAATGAACGGGAATTATAGGGTTGCTGTGACTCAATGTCAGGGCATATGCAAATTCCATGTTTCAAATTCATAATTACTGGTGGAAATCCAGGCGAGCTGCTGCCAGTCAGTTTGGGATAGGCAACGTTTTGGGGCCGGATCTTGAAATATGTGGTGGACATGCTCACAATAGCTATCTAGAAGAAGAGAAGAGAAGAGAAGAGAAGAGAATAAGAAATAGAACAGAATAGAATAAGAAATAGAACAGAATAGAATAGAATAGAATAGAATAGAATAGAATAGAATAGAATAGAATAAGAAATAGAACAGAACAGAACAGAATGGAATAGAATAGAATAAGAAATAGAACAGAACAGAATAGAATAGAATAAGAAATAGAACAGAACAGAACAGAATAGAATAGAATAAGAAATAGAACAGAACAGAGTAGTAGAATAGAATAGAATAAGAAATAGAACAGAACAGAATAGAATAGAATAAGAAATAGAACAGAATAGAATAGAATAAGAAATAGAACAGAACAGAATAGAATAGAATAGAATAGAATAGAATAGAATAGAATAAGAAATAGAACAGAACAGAATAGAATAGAATAAGAAATAGAACAGAATAGAATAGAATAGGAACAGAACAGAATACAATGCAATGCAATGCAATACAATACAATACAATACAATACTTTATTTGGCCAAGTGTGATTAGACACACAAGGAATTTGTCTCTGGTATAGAAGCTCTCAGTGTACATGCAAAGCATCAGAATACTAATCATAATCATAATAGTAATACCAATAAGAGGGGGTAGTAAGGAAGATAATAAGAATGCTAATAGCAGTACTACAGCCATGCTACCTGGATAAATATACACAGACATTAGATAGTACTGCATATTAGCCAAAGCATCCCAGCTTCCTATTTAAGGTTCCCGGAGTTTTAAAAAGTCAGTTGGGCAAATATTCTTCTGGACATCTCACAGTTCAAGGTGACTCTGAGCATTTTGACCTTACAGCCTCACCTGTAGTGCACGCGGCTATTGAGTGATACTTTGTGACAATTTTTTTAATTGGGATTCCCCGTTTTATTCATGGACTTTTGAGGGGTCCAAGCATCGCTGCCCATCTAACTAACCTTGACTTTTAGCACTTTGTAGAGTCTGTCCCCACCCCCAGGAAATTTTAGCACCATGAGTTTGATTATGAGGTTTTACAGAAGCTCATTGGCAAGGCTTTACGTTACTATAAGCTAAATTCAGCTCCAAGGACTCATCACCTTTACCCAGGCAGCTAAGCTCTCTGTCAGCAATCTTCCTGCCTTTTGCCCATCATTTTTCTTTTCATTAAAAATATATGTTCAGGAAGCAAGAAATAAAGAGCTGCACAATGGCAGGTGATTGCTAGCAGGGGAAGCAGAGCGAGAAAAAGGGCCAGGCAGGTGCTTGACAAAAGGCAATCACTTTTAGAAAATGAAGGTAATTCACATGATCTGAATGGTGGAGTTAGTAAAAGCTGCTTTCCTCTCAATGGCAAAACAACTGACAGCGCCATCATTGTTATGATCACAGGACGATCACGGTGCCCAGGGCAATGGGTTTATACCCCAGAGCCTCTGAGGGATGATTTTGGAACGAATCCCTGAAGGTGGAAAGTTTCAAGAAACTCATGAGGGCATTGTTGGACTGCCTTAAGCCTGGGCAGACAGACGGAAATTGTATTCAGAATGAAGGCAGCATTCTTGGTTCACATTTTCATGCTTGACGGAATATGAAACTCCATTGCCATACTTTGACTTACCCATCTTACAGAACATAGAAGCATAGAGTTGGAAGGGAACTTTGAGATCATCTAGTCCAGTGGTGGCAGAGACAGCACTCAGAGCCCTCTCTGTGGGCACGCCCGCATGCCGTTGCCCCAGCCCCGCCTCCACTTGCGGCCCCCTCCTCACTAGCAGCCCCCTGGAAGAGAGTCGCCCTCGGGCGTGGCCTGCGCAGAGCAGCGCAGCCAAGGACATGGCAGCCGGGCAGCGGGGGCAAGACTCCACCCTTGCACCCCATCGTGCGCAGGTGGTGCTGTGCGGTGTGGGCGGAGGGTGTAGCCGCCATGGCGCTGCTGGGTCGCTATGGTGATCTGTGGCGGGCCATGGAGGCGGTGGGTGGCCCTGTGGGTGGGCAGGGTGGGGTGGGGGGAAGTGCGGGGGGTGGGGGGGCGGGGCAGGGGCGGGGCAGGGGCACTCAGTCTCTAAAAGGTTCGCCATCACTGATCTAGTCCAACCCCCTGCTTGAGCAGGAGACTTTGTACCAGGGGTGTGTGAAACTGCTGGCCCGCGGGCCGGATGCGTCACGTGGAAGCCACGCCCACCCCAGCTCCGGCAAGGGGGAAAAAGTCGCAATATGTTGTGATGCGGTGAGTTTGATACCCCTACTCTGTACCATTTCAGACAAATGGCTGTCCAGTCTCTTCTTGAAAGCCTCCAGTGATGGAGCACTCACAACCTGTGAAGGCAAGCCATTCCACTGGTTGATTGTTCTCGCTGACAGGAAGTTTCTCCTAAGTTCTAGGTTGCTTCTCTCTTTGTTACCATCCATTATTTCTTATCTTGCCTTCTGGTGCCCCCCACTCACCCATCTGTGTAGCAGCCCCTCAAAAATCTTGGAGTCAAATGATAGAGCGAGTTATTGTTTTTTATTTATTGACCAACAGCACAGTGTGGTGTGAATAGAAGTTACATTCCAAAAGGGTGAGCTTTGTCTCGTGACGATGCAATTATTCTCACATCTTGCTCGTTCTCTTCAAACCCTTGGAATCCTTTACATGTCAATTGTCCTTCTTCTGACTGGATCAGTGCTGCCTCTGGATGGCGTTTTGGGGAATGCAGAAAAGGGCATTCCAGTCAGTGGGACCATCCCATTCCCATCTCCATGTCCTCACTTTCTGGCTCGATTTTTCAGTAAGACAAGAACAAATGGCAATTGTATGGCAATAAGGAGGGTAGCTTGAATCCGGAGTGGGAGGAAGAGAAAATAAGAAGGTAGGAATTGTCAATCTTCTCAGATACACCAGACAGGAAAAATGACCAGGATAGCTAATTCTACTTTATTTTACCGCTTTCTTAAAATAACAAGTACAAATATCTCACCACCTCTTTTACAGCCTGAGAAACTAGGTGGTGTCCCCTTTGCGCTTCTTTTTCCGTCCTTTATGCAGCTGCAGGCTATGCCTTCCCTTATCTGACTGTTCCCTAGGCAGCATCTCTTCACCCAGTCTCTCAAGGTCTTTCTCCTAAACCTTTACAGGAACTCCCACGAATGCAGAACTATCCATCCTGCGGCTGCTTCACAGCATGTAGCAAATATCTGCAACAGTTCAGTAGCTTCCTCTTTCCATGGGATTGTAAAAGCCGCTGCTGTTTAAGATGTGGCAGACAGCAGCTGTGCTCCAAGGCGCATTTTGGAGATAAGACAAAATGCTGTATGACTCTGAAAATGTGTCTCTGCAGCATTTCCTGGGAAGAACAGTTGAGACGGAACTCAAATTGGATGGAGACCACCAGCATCATGGAAAGCTAAAGTTTTACAACACAGTTTCCAGAATCAGGGCATCGTGAAAGTCCATAAAAGAATGCTTTATGATCAGGAAGCAGCTTTTTCCCACCAAGCGCCCTGCAGAT